AGCCCAATCTAAAGGGGGCAGAAGCATAAGAGCATCTTATTGCCTTCAGATCGAAATTAAGGTTACACAGTGGGTTTATAGAGGGCTATGCAACTAACTGGACTTGGTTAGAAGGGATGGGACTCCCTCCTTCATGACAGGCAAGAGACTCAAAGGGCCACAAACCTCCCAATGGCTTCTCCTATGCAAATCTGTTTGAACATGAACATGTAGCGCCTGTTTTTTAATGTCAATGGCTCTTGTGCTTGAAAAATGCCTGTGGGGGCATGCCTCAGGTCCCCACTCTGCTGCCCTGTGTAAAAATTAACTTGCATCAAGCAGGTCGAGAACATGACAGCAGCGCTTCCAGAGGGTGAACAGAGAAGACAAAACCTTCTCAACATCCAGGACTTCTCCAATTCTTGGGAATTATTGTGCTCAGTCTGCAGTCAGTAGCACCCTAGTGACCCCCTGGATGCTTACAGCGAGTAAATGTGGCCCTTCTCTTACTAAGACGATGGGCTGGGAGCCATTTCCTGAATGCCACACAGGGAAAAACAAAAAACAAACGAAAACAAAAAAACAAAAAAAGGCTTAAGCTACTGACCTGGCAGAAGCCAACAGTCTGTGGCGTGAAGACACATATGCAAATGTTCAGTAAGTAACAACAGCCCCAAAATTGCGGCAACTGGAGTGTGTTAGAAAAATGGCTTCACCTCTAGCGAAAAGCCACAACGGGCCCACCTTCAGGAACTCACCAACATTATCTTACAGGCCCCTGTGTGCACAAAACGGGGCATAGTTTTCTTGAAAAGCATGTGCCGAGTCAGAAGCTTTCACTTCTCCTCTTAGAGAGAACACTTTGTCACGGAGGCAACTGGAAGTTACTCAGTTGTCCAGGTTTGGATTCTTCCACTGGGTCTCAACTGCAGGCTACTCTCCCCGTCTCGGTTCTAGCCATCTGCGAAGCACAGCTCTGTGGGCGCTTTTGGGGCCTCCACGGTCATCTCTAGTACTGGGTGCAAAAAAAGGGCCTGACCTCCTGGCTGGCATATAAACAAACACTGGCCTTTTTTTTTTCCACACACACACGACTTTGGATGCTCAGAGATGCGCTGAAGCCTGGATGGCTTCCTTTACTTGTTTTCTCCATTCACTTCGAGGTATGAGAGGCCATAATCTGTGTCATCAAACAATCCCTGAAGCTTAACAGTGCCTGTTCTCCATGCACAGGAGCCTATCAAACCTCTCATTTACAAGAGCAGC